TGACCTTTGACCTCTAGCCTGTGGACACGTCAGAGTGAGGCGACCAACAGACCCGACCCGGTTCCATCGGTTCTGTCCAGAGCTCAAGTCTTCCAGAGGTACTGTCCTGCAGCCTCAGTCCAACAGACGGGGACCCGAGGACCGGACCGGACCACAGTACCGGACCGGAGGACGGGACCCAAACTCCAGTCACTGGGTGTTCTGGGTAAACATCTGGTTTCAGCTGGATGACCTTCATCAGAGTCTTCATCAGGCTTCTTCTCATCTTCCTCCAGCCAATCAGAGCCATTTGATTCTCCCAACAGGAAGTAGGGCTGGTGACAGGAAGTGGGCGGAGCCTGTAGAGAATCCTGAACCAGTTTCCCTTAAAAAGTGTCACGTGTGAACAGAGGATCTCTGAAGTGTTGACATGTTAAAACTAACACACACACACACACACACACACACACTGCTCTCTCACTGCCATATAAGGACACACACACTCTATAACACACACAGTTCACACAGCAAAATGATGAACCACTTCCTCTTCACTCTGTCGCTTGAACTCTTTCAGTTTAACTCAGAAAACGGGTTCACCGTTACTGAGGAAGTGTGTGTGTGTGTGTGTGTGTGTGTGTGTGTGTGTGTGTGTGTGTGTGTGTGTGTGTGTGTGTGTGTGTGTGAGACACTTTCATCTCTGCAGGTTCTGCTTCAACCTCCATAAATGGAAACTGCTGCAGTCAGTCAAGCTCTAACTGGTTCCATCCAGAAACTGGATCTCAGAACAAATTGGACCAGAACCGCTGAGGCTGTTCAAATCCTCCTGAGTCAGAACCAGAACAGAACCGCCCGGCCCAGTGGAGCGGGTCGTGACCCCGGGTCATGGATCCTAAATCAGTTTTAAACCCTATTGGAGAGCAAAGATCCATCAGAACCAGTTACTGCAGACTGGGATCACTGGTGGGTTCCTACTGGGTTTACTGGAGTCAGTCAGAACTCCTGCAGTGATAAAACATGAATCCAGATCAATAATCTGGATCATGATGAACAGCAACAAACCCAAACTGGTTTCCAAGCTGTGGGAACCAGTAGAACCAGAAGGTTTCAGCAGAACTTCAGACTCCTGATGGTTTAAAGCAAACCTTGGACCTCCAAACCGGACCGGATCTTAAACCGGACCGGTTCTGATTGTGCCAACGATCTGGACCTCCTGGTGCCGGTCGGTTCTGGTGGATACCTGCTCCTGGTTCTGAACGGATCAGACTCCAGAACCGATTTGGTTTGGACTCTGATGTTCAGGTGTTCTCCACCTGACCTATGACCTCATCACCGTCCTTCCTCTGTCCAGCTGAGGGACAACATGGAGGCTGTCTCACTGAACCGTTCTACTTCCTGGTTCTCACTTCCAGGTAGGGCGAGCGAGAGAGAGAGAGAGAGAGAGGGGGGGGGAGAGTGGGCAAGCTGCAGAGAGAGGGAGGCAGGAAGCGGGCGGGGCCGGTCCTATAAGAGACGCATCGTCTTCCTGCTTCTGGCATTTCTCTGCTGTCCTCCGTTTGCCTCAGACTCAGACTCTACCTGCACAGGTAAGACCACACACACACACACACACACACACACACACGCCCAGAGGGAGGCCAGACCTGGACCGTAACCCTGGCGACTGTCTCCATCAGGATGTCGTGGCAATCGTACATCGACAACATGAGGACGCCTGACCACAGCGGGACGACGCCGGTGGCAGAGTCGGCGATCTGCGGCACTGGAGCTGGACAGGAGAGCATCTGGGCCAGTTCCCCGGGTCTGCAGGGCATCACGGTGAGCAGAGACACAGAGACACGCAGAGAGACATGCAGAGACAGAGAGACACACTGAGACACAGAGACACAGAGACACACTGAGAGACACGCAGGGAGACACACTGAGACATGCAGAGACGCAGTGAGACAGAGAGACACGCTGCAGTTCCTGTTTCCACTCGGCTCCTGCCAGAACTTCCTCCTCTGTCGGCTCCAAATCTCCGGGACACTTTCCTGCTTCAGACGATGCTGCTGGGGACAGGTGACCTCACCTGTCCCGCTGTGACCTCACTGGCTCCTGTCCGCCGTCTTCTGGCTCAGGGAGGAAGGAAGTTTGCGTCTCTGCATCGTCTTGAGCCGCGGGCGTCGCCGCTTCCCGCTCTGAGCCCGGCGCCTGATTGGCTGCTGCGATGGTTTGGAGGCATCTGCCGCTCACTTCCTGTTCGGTTGCTTCATGCACTTCCTGCTGCAGCAACCGGGTCGCAGCCACAACCGGGCGGGTCTGACTGCTGGTTCTGAGCCTGCAGAACCTCCCGGGTCCAAACAGATTCTGGGTTCTGCTTGCAGAGCAGCTCACTCAGCGTCAGGCCCGGTTCCGCCAGGTTCCGGGTTCTGCTGCTCAGAGCGGGTTCAGCTGCCTTATAAGGGCATAGCGCCGAAAAGCAGCGAATACAGGAAGCTGAGACGATCACTTCTTCTTTCTTCACACACACACACACACACACACACACCCACCCACACACACACACACTTAGACACACACACTCACACACACTCACCCACCCACACACACACACACCCAGAAAACAGGCCTGCAGGCTCTGATTCTCTCTGAGCTGCTTCAACATGTTTTCTCTTCATTCTAAACAGATTCACTGACAACATGACTCACATTAGAGCTGTCTGTGTGGTGTGTGGTGTGTGTGTGTGTGTGTGTGTGTGTGTGTGTGTGTGTGTGTGTGTGTGTGTCTCAGTGTGTGTGTGTGTCAGTGAGCGGTATCAGCTCCCTGCAGGCCTGTTCTCTGATTGGCTGCCGCTACAGGAAGTGGTTTCTGCTCCGTGTCTCGACTCGTCTTCACATTCTTTCGTCTTGCAGCTGATTTTTCTCCAGTTGTGCTGTGAAGTTTAGTCTCTGATGAACTCGGTCCTGCTCACCTGTCCTGTTTCCTCACCTGCTGCCCGTCCCTGCGCGTCCTCGGCCCGGTCCTGGGTGGTGCCGTGCAGTTCGAGGAAGCTGGGAATCCGTAGCTCTGACTGTTTGTCTCCTTTCAGGCCGACGAGATCAAGAAGCTGGCCGGCAAGGATCGGTCCAGCTTCGCTCAGAACGGCGTCTACATCGCCGGGACGCGGTGCCGCTGATCCGGGACCAGATGGACAACGAGCCGACCTTCGCCATGGACCTGAAGACCGCGGCCGACGCCGAGGGCAACACGTTTGGAGTCTGCGTGGGCAGACCAACACAGGTGAGCTTCCACCTTCAGACGTCACCTTCAGGTTCCTGAGTCACAATGTCTCACCTGTCCTCTGTCTCACCTGTCCACCTGTCTCCACCTGTCCTCTGTCTCACCTGTCCTCTGTCTCCAGCTATCGTCATAGCAAAGGGCACTAAAGACGCCACTGGCGGCCAGATATCCAACAAGGTGTTCAGTGTCGTCGAACATCTCAGGAAAGTCAGATGTAAATCCAACATGGCCGCCACATTCCCTCCTGCCTCCCTGACCCTTCGACCCCTCCCAGCTCCTTGTCCTTGACCTTCAGTCATCGAAGCGTCTCCTCCATGCAACGACCAATCAGTGACTGTGTGTGTGAGGGTCACCTGACCCGGCGCTGACCCGGCGGGTCAGGCTGGTTCTTCAGCAGGGAGCCAGTGTTACATGTTTCACCTGAACCCAATAAAGAGTCCTGTTTATTTTACCTGGTCTGCTTCTTTCACACACACACACACACACACACACACACACACTGAGACACACACACACACACACTGAGACACACACACACACACACACACACTGAGACACACACACACACTGAGACACACACACACACACACACACCACACACACACTGAGACACACACACACACACACACACACACACACACACACACACACACACTGAGACACACACACACACACACAGAGACAACACACACACGCGCAGTAACATGGTTCTGTGGGAACCTGGTTCTCCTGGTCTCCAGACGGGTCCAGAGTGTTTATGGACCGGCCGGGTTCTGATGGGCCCAGAACGGTCAGGAGAAATATTTAACTACTTGTAAAAGTCAGATCATTTTCCAAATGATTGCAGTACGAACAGCAACAGGTGGGGGCAGCACCGTCAGCAGCTCTCTTTAAACGCATTTTAAACTGAATGTAAAGCAAAAATATCTGCATCACGTTTATAAAAACCACCAGGAATCTCTGGATGCAGCAAGAGGAACAACGACAGAATATTTCCTGCTGCTAACTCAGTGCAGGTGAACTTTGACCTGCAGGGTCCTGAGCGGGTTTTTCACAGGTCAGCTGCTGCATGATCAGAAAGTCATGACAGGACGGGTTCTGTTGGTTCTGTTGGTTCTGCTGGTTCTGTTGGTTCTGCTGGTTCTGTTGGTTCTGTTGGTTCTTCTGGTTCTGCTGCAGGTGAAGCTAAAGGCTCAAAGGTCTCCGGGTTTCTGCCATTTGCAGTGACTCCTCAGCCAGGTTCAGGTTTCTGCTGCAGGTGAACTTTGACCTTCTCTCTCATTAGGGACCGTCCTCAAAGTTCAGCTTCAGCAGGAACCGGGTCACTGCAGAACCTTCCAGAACAGAACCGCAGCCTGCTGGCTGACCTTTCTTCATCATCCTGGTTGCCGGTTCCGTCTTCTGCCGTTGTGTCCTTGAGCAAAAGGCTGCAGCCCAGAACCAGAACCAGAACCAGGACTGGTTCTGGTTCTGGTTTCAGTTTTTATTCCAAAGTTCAGATTCAGTTCAGCTTTTAAATAAAATTTATTTTAAACCTGAGTTTCCAGGAAACTGAGGAATTGGACCGGTTCTGTTCAGGTTCTGTTCAGGTTCTGTTCAGGTTCTGTTCAGGTTCTGTTCAGGTTCTGTTTCAGGTTCTGTTCAGGTACTGTTCAGGTTCTGTTCAGGTTCTGTTCAGGTTCTGTTCAGGTTCTGTTCAGGTTCTGTTCAGGTTCTGGTGCCGGTCACATCCAGACGGTCCCTACTGCTCTTCCTCCTCCTCCTCTTCCTCCCTCCGCCTATAAAACCTCTGACGGCGGGAGATCTTCAGCCAGACGGAACCGGACCGGAACCGAAACTCCTCTCTTCTTCAGCCGTCAGGTGAGTCCGGCCAGAACCCGGTTCCGGTCCGTTGCAGCTCTTCCCAGCTCCTGCAGGCTTTTATTTTGAAAGGCCGCCGTGTGTTTAAGCGAACCTGCAGTTTGGAGACGTGTGGTGTCGGTGGGTTCTGGTTCTGGTTCATTTGGACCCGGTACCAGCGCGTTGTGACTGAAGGTCACAGAGCTGCACAAACAGCAGGGGCCGCAAAGTCCGGACCCGCTTACCGAGCCACTCCGAACCGGTCCGAACCGATCCGAACTCACTGAACACACAGCGACCCGATCAATGCAAACCCAACCGATCCGAACCGCTCAGGACGGGCCTGGAGCAACAGAACCAGAACAGAACCAGAACGGGACAGAAAGATGGTTCCGGTTCCGGTCCGCTCAGCCCGATCAGACAGCAGTGATGCTCAGGTCTCTGATTGGATAAAAGAGATCAGAGTTAAAGTTCACAGGTCAGCAGCTGCATGATCAGAAAGTTAGTTAGTAGGAAAAAACTGCAGCTTATTAACATGGAGAAAGATCTGAGAGAGAGAGAGAGAGAGAGAGAGAGAGAGAGAGTGTGTGTGTGTGTGTGTCTCTGTGTGTGTGTGTGTCTCTGTGTGTGTGTGTGTGTGTGTCTCTGTGTGTCTCTGTGTGTGTGTGTGTGTGTGTGTGTGGTGTGTGTGTGTGTGTGTGTGTGTTTCTGTCTCACTGCTGAACAACAGCTGAGCTCCTGAAGAGCATTTGAAACCACTGATGGCCTTTACAAATCCACACACACGTTCATTCAGTGAGTTGTGTGTGTGTGTGTGTGTGTGAGAGTCAGTGTGTGTGTGTTCAAATGTCAGTAGTTACAGTCTGGTTCTGGTTCTGTTGGGTTTCTCACCTCGACCTCCTTAGAATGGTCTAGTTAAAGGTCAGCAGCTCCTCCTGCTGCAGATTAAAAATATCTAAACATTCCCGCTTGTCCCATAAACACACACACACACACACACACACACACACACACACACACACACACACACACACCCCTCCATGGTTCCTCCCTCTCTTTGGTTCTGTCCAAATGTCAGCCGGGCTCTGATTGGCTGCTTGGCTGGATGGGCGGGCTTCCGGGCACGGAGCGGAAACATGGCGCTGAGCAGAATCCCTGCTGCAGGTCCGACACACACACACACACACACACACACACACACACACACACACACACACACACACACACACACACACACACACACACACACCTAACTGGACCGGGCCGAGTCTGACAGAACCAGTCAGTAACTGTGACTGAGTTCAGGGTTCAGCTTGTCTGGACCGGATGGAGATTCATTTTCTATAAATATCAATACGAAACTTTATTACATTCTAACATCAAGCACAACAATATAGAAGAATCTGTTTCATCCCGATGCATGGGGGGAGTTAGGAGGTATTAGGATCATTGACCACCCACAGTGTCACCTGTTCACCCACTGCAATGCTAACGGCTCAATGCTAACAGCTAGGTTACCTTTAATGCTAACTAATATTCATACTAACAGTTAAACATTATATTTAATAAGCTGTAAAAATACAGCAACAGCCAAACGATGTCAGTTAAAACATTTAATGGTAGAAAAAATATTAATAATGAACTAAAGTACAAATTCATATAATCAGTTTAGCTAAATTTCAACCAGTTCAATAACTGAATAATTAATTTAGGCTAAAAACAAAACCAAAGAAGATAAATATGAAAACATTCAGATTGAGTTCATTTCGACCTTCAACCAGAAGCTAACAGCTAACAGCTATGAGTCGAGGTGCACCTGCGGTCCAGGTGCGGCGTTCCACCTTCGGCCCAGGTGCGGCGTTTTACTTGCAGTCCAAGTGCTGCGGTCCATGTGCGGTGTTCCAACACCGACACAGGTGCGGCGTTCCACCTTCGGCCCAGGTGCGGCGTTCCACCTCCGGCTCAGGTGCTGCGTTCCACCTCCGGCCCAGGTGCGGCGTTCCACCTTCGCCCAGGTGCGGCGTTCCACCTTCGGCCCAACTGTGGCGTTCCACCAGCGGCCCAGGTGCGGCGTTCACCTTTGGCCCAGGTGCGGCGTTCCACCTCCGGCCCAGGTGCGGTGTTCCAACACCGACACAGGTGCGGCGTTCCACCTGCGGCCCAGGTGCGGCGTTCCACCTCCGGCTCAGGTGCGGCGTTCCACCTCCGGCCCAGGTGCGGCGTTCCACCTTCGGCCCAGGTGCGGCGTTCCACCTTTGGCCCAGGTGTGGCGTTCCAACACTGGCCCAGGTGTGGCGTTCCAACACTGGCCCAGGTGTGGCGTTCCAACACTGGCCCAGGTGCGGCGTTCCACCTCTGGCCCAGGTGCCGCGTTCCACCTTCGGCCCAGGTGCGGCGTTCCACCTTCGACCCAGGTGCGGCGTTCCACCTTCGGCCCAGGTGCGGCGTTCCAACACCGACCCAGGTGCGGCGTTCCACCTTCGGCCCAGGTGCGGCGTTCCACCTCCGGCCCAGGTGCGGCGTTCCACCTCCGGCCCAGGTGCGGCGTTCCACCTTCGACCCAGGTGCGGCGTTCCACCTTCGGCCCAACTGTGGCGTTCCACCAGCGGCCCAGGTGCGGCGTTCCACCTTTGGCCCAGGTGCGGCGTTCCACCTCCGGCCCAGGTGCGGCGTTCCACCTTCGGCCCAGGTGCTGCGTTCCACCTCCGGCCCAGGTGCGGCGTTCCACCTTCGACCCAGGTGCGGCGTTCCACCTCCGGCCCAGGTGCGGCGTTCCACCTGCGGCCCAGCTGTGGCGTTCCACCTGCGGCCCAGGTGAGGCGTTCCACCTTCGGCCCAGGTGCGGCGTTCCACCTACGGCCCAGCTGTGGCGTTCCACCAGCGGCCCAGGTGCGGCGTTCCACCTTTGGCCCAGGTGCAGCGTTCCACCTCCGGCCCAGGTGCGGCGTTCCACCTTCGACCCAGGTGCGGCGTTCCACCTACGCCCAGCTGTGGCGTTCCACCTGTGGCCCTGGTGCGGCGTTCCACCATTGGCCCAGGTGCAGCGTTTCCACCTCCGGCCCAGGTGCGGCGTTCCACCTTCGGCCCAGGTGCGGCGTTCCACCTGCGGCCCAGGTGCGGTGTTCCACCTCCGGCTCAGGTGCGGCGTTCCACCTCCGGCCCAGGTGCGGCGTTCCACCTTCGGCCCAGGTGCGGCGTTCCACCTTCGGCCCAACTGTGGCGTTCCACCAGCGGCCCAGGTGCGGCGTTCCACTTTTGGCCCAGGTGCGGCGTTCCACCTCCGGCCCAGGTGCGGCGTTCCACCTTTGGCCCAGGTGCAGCGTTCCACCTCTTGCCCAGGTGCGGCGTTCCACCTTCGACCCAGCTGTGGCGTTCCACCTTCGGCCCAGGTGCAGCGTTCCACCTGCGGCCCAGCTGTGGCGTTCCGCCTGCGGCCCAGGTGCGGCGTTCCACCTTCGGCCCAGGTGCGGCGTTCCACCTACGGCCCAGCTGTGGCGTTCCACCAGCGGCCCAGGTGCGGCGTTCCACCTTTGGCCCAGGTGCAGCGTTCCACCTCCGACCCAGGTGCGGCGTTCCACCTACGGCCCTGGTGCGGCGTTCCACCATTGGCCCAGGTGCAGCGTTCCACCTCCGGCTCAGGTGCGGCGTTCCACCTTCGGCCCAGATGCGGCGTTCCACCTCCGGCCCAGCTGTGGCGTTCCACCTGTGGCCCAGGTGCGGCGTTCCACCTTCGGCCCAGGTGCGGCGTTCCACCTTCGGCCCAGGTGCGGCGTTCCACCTGCGGCCCAGGTGCGGCGTTCCACCTTCGGCCCAGCTGTGGCGTTCCACCTTCGGCCCAGGTGCGGCGTTCCACCTGCGGCCCAGCTGTGGCGTTCCACCTTCGGCCCAGGTGCGGCGTTCCACCTGCGGCCCAGGTGCGGCGTTCCACCTTCGGCCCAGGTGCGGCGTTCCACCTTCGGCCCAGGTGCGGCATTCCACCTTCGGTCCAGGTGCAGCGTTCCACCTTCGGTCCAGGTGCGGCGTTCCACATGCCGTCCAAGTCCGGAGTTTTACCTGCGGCCCAGCTGTGGCGTTCCACCTCCGGCTCAGGGGGACGTTCCACCTTCGGTCCAGGTGCGGCGTTCCACCTTCGGCCCAGGTGCGGCGTTCCACCTGCGGTCCAAGTGCGGCGTTCCAACACCGACCCAGGTGCGGCGTTCCACCTTTGGCCCAGGTGCGGCGTTCCACCTCCGGCCCAGCTGTGGCGTTCCACCTGCGGTCCAAGTGCGGTGTTCCAACACCGACCCAGGTGCGGCGTTCCACCTTCGGTCCAGGTGCAGCGTTCCACCTTCGGTCCAGGTGCAGCGTTCCACCTTCGGCCCAGGTGCGGCGTTCCACCTGCCGTCCAAGTCCGGAGTTTTACCTGCGGCCCAGTTGTGGCGTTCCACCTACGGCCCAGATGCGGCGTTCCACCTGCGGTCCAAGTGCTGCGGTCCATGTGCGACGTTCCAACACCTTCGCAGGTGTGGCGTTCCACCTTCAGTCCAGGTGCGGCGTTCCACTTTCGGCCGAGGTGCGGCGTTCCACCTTCGGCCCAGGTGTGGTGTTCCACCTTCGATTAAGGTCCAGAGTTTTACCTGCGGTCCAAGTGCAGCTTTCCACCTGAGGCCCAGGTGTGGCATTCCACCTGCGGTCCAGGTGCGGCGTTCCACCTTCGGCCCAGGGGGACGTTCCACCTGCGGTCCAAGTGCGGTGTTCCAACACCGACCCAGGTGCGGCGTTCCACCTGCCGTCCAAGTCCGGCGTTTTACCTGCGGCCCAGTTGTGGCGTTCCACCTTCCGCCCAGGGGGACGTTCCACCTTCGGTCCAGGTGCAGCGTTCCACCTTCGGTCCAAGTGCGGCGTTCCAACACCGACCCAGGTGCGGCGTTCCACCTGCCGTCCAAGTCCGGAGTTTTACCTGCGGCCCAGGTGCGGCGTTCCACCTTCGGGCCAGTTGCCGCGTTCCAACACTGGCCCAGGTGCGGCGTTCCACCTGCCGTCCAAGTCCGGAGTTTTACCTTCGGCCCAGGTGCGGCGTTCCACCTTCGGCCCAGGTGCGGAGTTCCACCTGCGGTCCAAGTGCTGCGGTCCATGTGCGGCGTTCTAACACTGACCCAGGTGCGGCGTTCCACCTTTGGCCCAGGTGCGGCGTTCCACCTTCGGCCCAGGTGTGGCGTTCCACCTTCGGCCCAGGTGCGGTGTTCCACCTTCGACCCAGCTGTGGCGTTCCACCTTCGACCCAGCTGTGGCGTTCCGCCTTCGGCCCAGGTGCGGCGTTCCACCTTCGGCCCAGGTGCTACGTTCCACCTTCGGCCCAGGTGCGGCGTTCCACCTGCGGTCCATGTACGGCGTTCCAACACCTTCACAGGTGCGGCGTTCCACCTGCGGCCCAGCTGTGGCGTTCCGCCTGCGGCCCAGCTGTGGCGTTCCGCCTTCGGCCCAGGTGCGGCGTTCCACCTTCGGCTAAGGTGCGGCGTTCCAACACCGACCGAGTTTCGGCGTTCCACCTGCTGTCCAGGTTCGACGTTCCACCTCTTACCCAGGTGCGGCGTTCCACCTTCGGCCCAGGTGCGGCGTTCCACCTTCGGCCCAGGTGCAGCGTTCCACCTCTTGCCCAGGTGCGGCGTTCCACCTTCGGCCCAGGTGCTGCTTTCCACCTTCGGCCCAGGTGCAGCGTTCCACCTGCGGCCCAGCTGTGGCGTTCCAACACCGACCCAGTTGCGGCGTTCCACCTTCGGCCCAGGTGTGGGTTCCACCTTCGGCCCAGGTGCGGCGATCCAACTTCGGCCCAGTTGTGGTGTTCCACCTTCGGCCCTGGTGCGGCGTTCCACCTTCGGTCCAGGTGCAGCGTTCCACCTTCGGTCCAGGTGCGGCATTCCACCTTCGGTCCAGGTGCAGCGTTCCACCTGCGGTCCAAGTCCGGAGTTTTACCTGCGGCCCAGTTGTGGCGTTCCACCTCCGGCCCAGGTGCGGCGTTCCTTCGGGCCAGTTGCCGCGTTCCAACACTGGCCCAGGTGCGGCGTTCCACCTGCCGTCCAAGTCCGGAGTTTTACCTGCGGCCCAGCTGTGGCGTTCCACCTACGGTCCAAGTGCTGCGGTCCCTGTGCGGCGTTCCAACACCTTCGCAGGTGTGGCGTTCCAAATTCAGTCCAGGTGCGGCGTTCCACTTTCGGCCCAGGTGCGGCGTTCCACTTCGGCCCAGGTGTGGCGTTCCACCTTCGGCCCAGGTGTGGCGTTCCACCTTCGGCCCTGGTGCGGCGTTCCACCTTCGGTCCAGGTGCAGCGTTCCACCTTCGGTCCAGGTGCGGCATTCCACCTTCGGTCCAGGTGCAGCGTTCCACCTGCGGTCCAAGTCCGGAGTTTACCTGCGGCCCAGTTGTGGCGTTCCACCTCCGGCCCAGGTGCGGCGTTCCACCTTCGGGCCAGTTGCCGCGTTCCAACACTGGCCCAGGTGCGGCGTTCCACCTGCCGTCCAAGTCCGGAGTTTTACCTGCGGCCCAGCTGTGGCGTTCCACCTACGGTCCAAGTGCTGCGGTCCCTGTGCGGCGTTCCAACACCTTCGCAGGTGTGGCGTTCCAAATTCAGTCCAGGTGCGGCGTTCCACTTTCGGCCCAGGTGCGGCGTTCCACCTTCGGCCCAGGTGTGGCGTTCCACCTTCGGCCCAGGTGTGGCGTTCCACCTTCGGCCCTGGTGCGGCGTTCCACCTTCGGTCCAGGTGCAGCGTTCCACCTTCGGTCCAGGTGCGGCATTCCACCTTCGGTCCAGGTGCAGCGTTCCACCTGCGGTCCAAGTCCGGAGTTTTACCTGCGGCCCAGTTGTGGCGTTCCACCTCCGGCCCAGGTGCGGCGTTCCACCTTCGGGCCAGTTGCCGCGTTCCAACACTGGCCCAGGTGCGGCGTTCCACCTGCCGTCCAAGTCCGGAGTTTTACCTGCGGCCCAGCTGTGGCGTTCCACCTCCGGCCCAGGTGCGGCGTTCCACCTTCGGGCCAGTTGCCGCGTTCCAACACTGGCCCAGGTGCGGCGTTCCACCTGCCGTCCAAGTCCGGAGTTTTACCTGCGGCCCAGCTGTGGCGTTCCACCTGCGGCCCAAGTGCTGCGGTCCATGTGCGTCGTTCCAACACCTTCGCAGGTGTGGCGTTCCAAATTCAGTCCAGGTGCGGCGTTCCACTTTCGGCCCAGGTGCGGCGTTCCACCTTCGGCCCAGGTGTGGCGTTCCACCTTCGGCCCAGGTGTGGCGTTCCACCTTCGGCCCAGGTGCGGCGTTCCACCTTCGGCCCAGGTGCTACGTTCCACCTTCGGCCCAGGTGCGGCGTTCCACCTGCGGTCCATGTACGGCGTTCCAACACCTTCACAGGTGCGGCATTCCACCTGCGGCCCAGCTGTGTCGTTCCGCCTGCGGCCCAGCTGTGTCGTTCCGCCTTCGGCCCAGGTGCGTCGTTCCACCTTCGGCTAAGGTGCGGCGTTCCAACACCGACCGAGTTTCGACGTTCCACCTGCTGTCCAGGTTCGACGTTCCAACCCCGACCCTTGTGCAGCGTTCCACCAGCGGCCCAGCTGTTGCGTTCCACCTGCGGCCCAGGTGCGGCGTTCACCTGCCGTCCAAGTCCGGAGTTTTACCTGCGGCCCAGCTGTGGCGTTCCACCTCCGGCTCAGGTGCGGCGTTCCACCTCCGGCCCAGGTGCGGCGTTCCACCTCCGGCCCAGGTGCGGCGTTCCACCTTCGGCCCAGGTGCGGCGTTCCACCTTCGGCCCAGGTGCGGCGTTCAAACACCAACTCAGGTGCGGCGTTCCACCTTCGGCCCAGGTGCGACGTTCCACATTCAGCCCAGGTGCGGCGTGGACCGCAGCACTTGCAGTCCAAGTGCTGCGGTCCATGTGCGGTGTTCCAACACCGACCCAGGTGCGGCGTTCCACCTTCGGCCCAGGTGCGGCGTTCCACCTGCGGCCCAGGTGCGGCGTTCCACCTCCGTCCAAGTGCTGCGGTCCATGTACGGCGTTCCAACACCTTCACAGGTGCGGCGTTCCACCTGCCGTCCAAGTGCTGCGGTCCATGTACGGCGTTCCAACACCTTCACAGGTGCGGCGTTCCACCTTTGGCCCAGGTGCAGCGTTCCACCTCTTGCCCAGGTGCGGCGTTCCACCTCTTGCCCAGGTGCGGCGTTACACCTCTCCCCCAGGTGCGGCGTTCCACCTTCGACCCAGCTGTGGCGTTCCACCTTCGGCCCAGGTGCGGCGTTCCACCTTCGGCCCAGGTGCGGCGTTCAAACACCAACTCAGGTGCGGCGTTCCACCTTCGGCCCAGGTGCGGCGTGGACCGCAGCACTTGCAGTCCAAGTGCTGCGGTCCATGTACGCCATTCCAACACCTTCACAGGTGCGGCGTTCCACCTTTGGCCCAGGTGCAGCGTTCCACCTCTTGCCCAGGTGCGGCGTTCCACCTCTCCCCCAGGTGCGGCGTTCCACCTTCGGCCCAGGTGCGGCGTTCCACCTGCGGTCCAAGTGCTGCGGTCCATGTACGCCATTCCAACACCTTCACAGGTGCGGCGTTCCACCTTTGGCCCAGGTGCAGCGTTCCACCTTCTGCCCAGGTGCGGCGTTCCAACACCGGCCCAGCTGTGGCGTTCCACCTGCGGCCCAGATGCGGCGTTCCACCTACGGCCCAGGTGCGGCGTTCCACCTGCGGTCCAAGTGCTGCGGTCCATGTGCGTCGATCCAACACCGACCCAGGGACGGCGTTCCACCTACGGCCCAGGTGCGGCGTTCCACCTCTTGCCCAGGTGCGGCGTTCCACCTTTGGCCCAGGTGCTACTTTCCACCTCCGGCCCAGGTGCGGCGTTCCACCTTTGGCCCAGGTGCTACTTTCCACCTTCGGCCCAGGTGCGGCGTTCCACCTTCAGCCCAGGTGCGGCGTTCCAACACCGACCCAGGGACGGCGTTCAACCTTCGGCCTAGGTCCGGTGTTCTACCTGCGGTTCAAGTGCGGCGTTCCAACACCGGCCCAGGTCCGGAGTTTTACCTGCGGTCTAAGTGCGGCTTTGCACCTGCGGCTCAGGGGTGGCGTTCAACCTTCGGCCCAGGTGTGGCGTTCCACCTGCGGCCCAGACGCTACTTTCCACGTCAGGCCCAGGTTCATCTGTCGTTCCCCCACTGGTCCAGGTTAGGCGTTCCACCTCTGTCCCGGGTGCGGCTTTCCACCTCCGGGCCATGTGTGGCGTCATAACAATAGCGGACCAGTTGCGGCGTTCCCCCCTCGGCCCAGTCGCGGCTCTCCACGTTTGGCCCAGTCGCAGCTCTCCATGTCTGGCCCAGACGCGGCTCTCCACGTCCGGCCCAGGTGCATCTGTCGTTCCCCCACCGGTCCATGTTAGGCGTTCCACGTTTGGCCCACGTGTGGCGTCGCACCAATACCGGCACAGGTGTGTTCCACCTCTGGCCCGGGTGTGGCTTTCCACCTCCGGGCCACATACTTCTTTAGAACAAATCTACAAAATATAAAATTGCATCTTCCTGTGTCTTCCCGGCAGCAGCCAGTCACTGCATGTTGGCATTTTGGATCATTTGCCAAGTGGTGAGTGGAGGAAATGCAGCATGACGCTCTGAAGCACTGAATCATATCTGACTCTGTGGATGAAGGCAGAGCCTCTGAATGTTTTTTTTTTTTTTTTATCGCTCAAGCAGTGAAAGGGATGAAGGCCGACAGAAACCTCACAGCAGCTTTTAGATTCTTGATCACTTTAAAGCTGCAGTCTGTCACTTATATAAATAGAAAGTTTTTTTTAACCCGCAACTCCCTGGGCCGATGGGAGTTGCGGCGTTCTCCCATCGGCCCAGACGCGGCTCTCCACGTTAGGCCCACGTGTGGCGTCGCACCAATACCGGTCCAGGTTAGGCGTTCCACCTCCAGGCAAGGAGCGTCTTTCCCCGAACGCCACCCAGACTCGGCGTTTGTCCTCCTGACATTAGCTAGTCAGCATGTAGCTAGTATTAGCTGTATCCGTGTCCTCTGCACAGGACAGAACTGTTCAAAGTGTTTTGCTTTAGTTGGTTTGGGTTCAGCAGCTGCAGCCGTTTCTTTGTCCACCTAACAGAACCTTGGAGCTCATGTTGCGTTTAAATGCGACTCAGAAAAGCAAAATAAATCAAAAGTGTTTTGAATCAATGGGACAAACTTTAAAAATGTTTTAAACTTTAGATTTAGTCCAAGTCAAGTCCCGAGTCTTTGGACATTTTAAAGTCTTATTAACGACTCGAGTCCAAGTCATGGGACTCGAGGCCCCACCTCTGCCAGGTAGGTCCAGTTGGGTCCAGAACCGGGTCCAGGGAGTCCAGAGCTGGTTGCAGTGTTTTGTCTTTGTTTGATGTCCCCTGAGTGGACGAACAGGCTTCCCACTACGGTTCTGGTTCTGATCTGCTTGGTTCTGATCTGCTTGGTTCCGACCGGTTATCACACCGGATCAGTGTGAACCTCAGTCAGCTGATCCAGTTCTGATCGTGTCCTCCTCGTCCCGCAGTCAGGATGTCCATCACCAAGATCCAGGCCCGTGAGATTCTGGACTCCAGGGGGAACCCGACCGTGGAGGTGGACCTGTGGACGGCCAAAGGTGAGCAGCGGCTCCACGGCGCCTCAGGCGTCCCTCAGGGTCACTAACGTCCAGCCGTGTCCAGGTCTCTTCAGGGCCGCCGTCCCCAGCGGCGCGTCCACCGGAGTCCACGAGGCGCTGGAGCTCCGCGACGGAGACAAGAGCCGCTACCTGGGCAAAGGTAGGAGGACACCTGTGAGGACAGGTGAGGACGTCCCAGCGTCCTGTTAACGCCTGGGTTTGTCCACAGGGACACAGAAGGCTGTGGACCACGTCAACAAGGAGATCGCCCCCCAGCTGATCGAGAAGGTATGTACCAGGGGTCAGAGGTCACCTGCTTCCTGTAGAGTCCAGCACTTTGTCCTCATGTCTGTCCTCATGTATGTCCTCATCTCTGTCCTCATGTTTGTCCTCATGTATGTCCTCATGTTTGTCCTCATGTGTGTCCTCATGTATGTCCTCATGTTTGTCCTCATGTATGTCCTCATGTCTTGCAGAAGTTCAGCGTTGTGGATCAGGAGAAGATCGACAAGTTCATGCTGGAGTTGGACGGCACGGAGAACAAATGTGAGGCCCCGCCCACTCGTCCACCTGAGTGTCCGTCTCTGTCCTGAGTGTCCGTGTCTCCGTCTGCAGCCAAGTTCGGCGCCAACGCCATCCTGGGCGTGTCTCTGGCCGTCTGTAAGGCCGGCGCCGCGGAGAAGGGCGTCCCGCTCTACCGCCACATCGCCGACCTGGCGGGACACAAAGACGTCATCCTTCCTGTTCCTGTGAGAGGCGGGGCTTAGTGAGAGAGGGCGGGGCTTAGCGAGAGAGGGCGGGGCTTAGCGAGAGAGGGCGGGGCTTAGCGAGAGAGGGCGGGGCTTAGCGAGAGAGGGCGGGGCTTAGCGAGAGAGGGCGGGGCTTAGCGAGAGAGGGCGGGGCTTAGCGAGAGAGGGCGGGGCTTAGCGAGAAAGGGCGGGGCTTAGCGAGAGAGGGTGGGCCTTAGCGAGAGAGGGTGGGCCTTAGCGAGAGAGGGCGGGGCTTAGTGTGAGAGGGCGGGGCTTAGCGAGAGAGGGCGGGGCTTAGTGAGATAGGGCGGGGCTTAGTGATAGAGGGCGGGCTTAGCGAGAGAGGGGGGGCTTAGCGAGAGAGGGCGGGGCTTTAACTAGGACATGTTGTGCTCCTCTGGTTCTGTGTCTTCAGGCCTTCAATGTGATCAACGGTGGGAGTCACGCTGGGAACAAACTGGCCATGCAGGAGTTCATGATTCTCCCTGTAGGAGCTTCAAACTTCCATGAGGCCATGAGGATTGGAGCTGAGGTACCGTGACCTTTGACCTGCGGCCTGCGGCTCCCGCCTTCGCCTCGTTCATGTCTGTGTCTGTGAGTTCAGGTTTACCACAACCTGAAGAACGTCATCAAGGCCAAATACGGCAAAGACGCCACCAACGTGGGAGACGAAGGCGGCTTCGCGCCCAACATCCTGGAGAACAACGAGGGTGAGCTCCGGCCCGGTTCTGAAGGTACTTTGGACCCACGGTTCTGGCGCCGTCTGATCGGCTGCGTCTCTGCAGCCCTGGAGCTTCTGAAGACGGCCATCGAAAAGGCCGGCTACCCCGACAAGATCATCATCGGGATGGACGTGGCGGCGTCCGAGTTCTTCCGCAGCGGGAAGTACGACCTGGACTTCAAGTCGCCCGACGACCCGACCCGACACATCAGCGGCGAGCAGCTGGGAGACCTGTACCGCAGCTTCATCAAGGGGTACCCAGGTGAGACGCACCTGGAGGCAGGAGACGCTAACTGGACCCGACCGGTGCTGGTCTTAAAGTTCTGGTCTCTGTTGGTTTCCAGTTCAGTCCATTGAGGATCCATTCGACCAGGATGACTGGGAACAATGGGCCAAGTTCACTGCCTCTGTGGACATCCAGGTGAGCTGGACAGGTGTTTGTGATGAGCAACATGGCCGCCGTGACCCACCTGCTGTGTCTCCACCAATCAGATCGTAGGAGATGACCTGACGGTGACCAATCCCAGGAGGATCCAGCAGGCCGTGGAGAGGAAGGCCTGCAACTGCCTGCTGCTCAAAGTCAACCAGATCGGCTCCGTGACCGAGTCCATCCAGGCGTAAGACACCTGGACACCTGTCTGTCTCTTTGTCCCCTGGTGCCTTTGTGACGTACCTGTCCACCTGTCTCCACCTGTCTCCAGGTGTAAGCTGGCCCAGACCAGTGGTTGGGGTGTGATGGTCAGCCATCGCTCTGGAGAGACGGAGGACACCTTCATCTCTGACCTGGTGGTTGGACTCTGCACTGGACAGGTAGGTCGGGTGTTCTGGACCGGGCCGGGTCAGAACCAGCAGAACCTGCTGCCTGTTTCACTAATGACGCTCCCTCTGTCTCTCAGATTAAGACCGGCGCCCCCTGCAGGTCGGAGCGTCTGGCCAAGTACAACCAGCTGATGAGGTGAGCGCTTCCTGATTCCTCCAAAATAAAAGTCTTGGCTCCAGACTGACCAATCGTCTGCTTCCTGCAGGATCGAGGAGGAACTGGGAGACAAAGCCAAGTTTGCTGGGAAGGATTTCCGCCACCCGAAGATCAACTGAGGCTCCGCCTTAACGCCGCCGCCATGCCAACGGGGCTCCCTGAAGCCCCGCCCCCTCACAGTGGGGGGCCTTTAGCCCCGCCCCACCTGGTTATTGCATAACGAGTGTTTTCTATCACAACTCAGTAAACAGAAACAAATAAAATCATCAATATTTGAGTCATTGCTTCATTACTGATGGTCCCCAGGCTGCCCCTGCTGGGCAGCTAAAGAACTGTTCCTGTGACTCAGGCTGCCCCCTGCTGGACGGTTCAGGAACATCATTCAGATGAGCTCCTGATTTCAGCCTGATGGGAAACACACACACATCTACACACACACACACACACACACACACACACACACACTACACACACACACACACACACACACTCACACACACACTCACACACACACTCACACACACACATCTACACACACATCTACACACACACACACATCTACACACTCACACACAGACACACACACACACATCTACACACACTCACTCACACACACTCACACAAACACATTCACACACACACACACACACTGCGCTGTGACGTCAATTCTGATTGGCTGAGGAGTTTGTGCAGCAGGCAGCTTGTTGCCTAGTGATGACCAGCAGCGATGATGATGATGATGAGGAGGAGGAGGAAGAGTTTGATCTGCTCCAGAACCTTTACTGGACCCTGGACCCGCTCCAGGCCCGGCCCAGACCCTCAGCATGGTTCATGCTGACCCTGTGTGCTGGTTGGGTTTATCTGGCCCGGTTCTGATCCGGTCCTTCACAGGAACCATCAGAACCAGCAGCAGGCTCTGGCCGGGTTCTGATGGGTGACCTGCTGCCCTCTGAGAGAGTGTGTGTGTGTGTGTGTGTGTGTGTGTGTGTGTGTGTGTGTGTGTGTGAGTGTTTTATGTGGACCTGATGACGTCAGAGTCTGAATAGGGGGCGGAGCTTCATCTGACAGGACAAAGGTGATGGGGTCATAAACTCTGAGGCTCCGCCCCTTTCACACAATACTTCCTGACAACAACATGGTCTCCCTGGCAACAGTTTAAGGAAAGGTCAGGGGTCACAGTGCCGTAGAGAGGAGTGATGTCAGAGAGATCGGCGATCTGATTGGCTGAGAAGGCGAGGAAGATGATGATTGTTCATGGGACGCCTGAGGTCAAAGGTCAGAGGTCAGGTTGGTTCCTCAGAGCATCAGGGTCTCCAGCCTTGAGCTTCGTCCCTCAGCACCATGCTGCCTCCACCTGAAGGATTCCCTCCAGGTGGAGTCGGCCCAAAATGGTTCTGACCCGGCACAGATGGTTCTGGACCTTCATGGACATGGATTCGTCTCTGTGTCTCTGACTGGACCCGTCACTGACCCGGCGTGTGTGTGTGAGAGAGAGAGACAGCGTTGCCGGGCCGACGCCATGAAGGCCTGGGCGACCCAAACAATGTGTGACATCACAGCGACATCACGGCGCCGAGTCGTATAAAAACAGAACTCTGAGGTTGTTCTGCAGACCCGGCCGGGCTTCAGAATCAGAACCAGAACCAGAATCAGAACCAGAATCAGAACCAGAATCAGAACCAGAATCAGAACCAGGATCAGGATCTGCCTCTTTGGACCCGACCGCCAGCAGAACCTTCTGGACCTGCAGGAAGTAAGTTCTCTGAACCCAAAATGTAAATTGTAACAATAATAAAATCTGAAGTTTGATCCAGTTTTGTGATTTAATAATAAAAAGAGAAAAAATGAATTGAACTATAAAAACTAATTTTAGTCTTTAATGAACAAAAACTGATATAATCGGGTTTATGATGTCATCATAGTTAATAAATTATAATAACTTCTGCAGTGAATCTTGCAGTGATGTGGAATAAAACTGATGGTTTGTCATTTCTAAATAATAGAATTGAACACATAATTATTAATAATTAGTTTAAATAATTTTACCTGTTATGTTAATGAGATGTAATTAAATAAAGCATTGTGGTTTTTTCTAAACCTTTAATATTTTTCATCAGTAAAACTAAATATTTTCTGGCTCCACAATGAAATGAATTCAGGATCATTTGTTAGTAAAGATTCTCCAGGAGTCACGTGATGCAGCCTCTGCAGGCGGACGTGTCGGTCAGCTCCTGGTAGTCTTCAGCGGCAATGGTTTTACACTAGCAGCTATTTTGCTCCAGTTATAGAATTTATTATTGAAACAGTGGAATACTTGAACCTGACTAATTAGTACCGAAACTTAGATTGTTTTTGGAAGTTTTTCACTGGCTTAAGAGAGAGGCCTCTGACGCGGGAAGATGGCGGCGGATCAAGACAAACCAACATTGAAATCCCTGATGAAGGCTATCCGTGAATCAAAAGAAGAGCTCACTGGGCATATAAATCAAAAAACAGATTATATCCAACAATCGCTAACAAAAATAGAACAGTCATTGTCAACGCTGGTGAACAGGTGCAGGAAATGGAGACCAGAGTTGGAGCTAACGAAGACAACCTAGCTGATATCTGATACTCAAAATGGAGAAGGAAATAACTTTCCTGAAAGAAAAAGCGGATGACTTGGAAAACCGGAGCAGGAGATCAAATATCAAAATTATAAACATCCCAGAAAGATCCGAAGGTACTGACATGGTGGGTTACAGGGAACGGCTAATCCCGCGGCTTCTCGGGGAGGAACACTTCCCAACCCCGGTTACCATCGAGAGGGCACACCGCCTGGGGAGAGCGACCGACCGGACCAGACCTATCCTGGTTAAGTTTCTGAACTTCAGGGATAAAGACAAAGTGCTCCGCGCGGCCAGGGACAAGGGGACAGTGCTGTTGGATAATAATCGAGTCTCATTTTACCCGGATTACAGCATCGAGGTGCAACGCAAAATGCTCGCTTTCAGCGAGGTGAAGAAAAAACTACGAGAGAAAAATATTGAATACGCCGCCGCTACCCTGCCAAGCTGAGGATCAGACATGGAGGAGGATTTAAGCTTTTTTCAGCCCCATCAGAGGTGGAGACCTTCCTGACCTCTGTTCAGGACGAAGGATAGATCATAACAGGCACCATGACTATTAACGGTAAAACAACATTACATAAAAACCCCATAATTTCTGACTTTTCTTCAAATGTTAATCCATCTCGTGTAGCAGTGGGTGCACCTCGGCCTATTAAATTATAGGTGAGTTAAGTAGATTTTGTTAAATATAGTTAATTTTGGTTCCTGAGCGTTTTCTTCTGGAGCAATCATGTTCTTTTTTGGAAAAATTGTTTTCTGCCGAAGATACTACAAATGTATAGAAGCGGAGTTATCCCACAGTTTGTTTTTGTTTTTTTTTTTGGGTTAATGGGGGTTAAAGTGTGGGTTTTCTCTTTTTATTCATTTCTTTTGGGGTTTAGGGGACACTCTCTCTATGGCGTTTACCACGTTAATGTTGAAAACTGTAAGCTCATGGTAAAAGATCAGAGATCTCTTTATTTTGTCCAAGTTATGTACATCCCATGTTACCTATTCAGAATATTTTCTTTATATTACTTAAAATGAATAAGACAGGACTACTAAATTGTGTTTCGTTAAATGTTAGAGGGATTAACAATCCTATTAAAAGGAAGAAAGTCCTAACATACTTTAAGAAACTAAGCACAGACGTTGCCTTTATCCAAGAGACCCATCTTACTGATATAGAACATTTAAAGTTGCGCAGGGATTGGGTTGGTCAGGTATTTTATTCCTCTTTTTCATCTAAAGCTAGAGGTGTAGCCTTACTTATCAATAAAAATCTCAGATTTCGATTAAATCATATGGATAATGACAGATCTGGCAGATTAATTTTAGTAGATTGTGTCATAAATACAAATAGGGTAATACTTGTATCCTTATATGGCCCAAACTTTGACAATCCAGAATTTTTTAACGATTTAATTCTAAAACTGGCAGCGATTGAAGCGCCATGTCTTCTGGGCGGGGACTATAACCTGGTTCTAAATCCATCAATGGATCGCTCCTCTCCTAAACGTGTTACACTATCCAGATCTGCGGTGGTTCTGACCCAGAGCATGAAAGAATCAGGATTGGGGGACGTATGGCGCTTACATAATCCTACCGGTAAAGATTATCATACTATTCCAACGTCCACAACACTTATTCAAGAATTGACATGTTTTTGATCTCACACCCACTTTTGTCACAAATTAAATCCTGTTCTTACTTAGCTGCTACGATTTCAGACCATAATCCCATACAAATGAAGCTAGAACTACACCAACCAGTTTTCTCTTCTCCTAGATGGAAATTTAGAGAATATCTTCTTAGAGACCCTGAATTTGTCACTTTTATGAATACCAAAATTGATATATATGTGGAAGTAAATTTAAATACCTCCTCACATTCAAATATATGGGAAGCGCTCAAGGCTTATATGAGAGGGCACATTATTTCATATGTCTCATATAAAAACAAACAAAAAAGGGAGCAGCTTTCTCAATTAGAAAAAGATATAAGGAGTTTAGAGATTGATCATTCAAGAACAAAGCGCCCAGAATTACTTAATGTTTTAAAACAAAAACGGATTTTATATGACAACCTGTGTACAAGTAAAGCTGAGGCAGCAATGGCTAGAACAAGATATCATTACTACGAATTCGGCAATAAAACAAGCAAACTCCTGGCGTGGCAAATAAAAAACGAGGATAGTGAAAGATATATTCAGAGTATTAACACAGATGATAGTAGACATTTAGAAAATACAAAAGACATTAATTCGGAATTTAAAAAATATTACCAATTGTTATATAAATCTGAGCTTCACAAAGACAGTGTAGATATAAAACAATTTTTGAATCATTTACATTTACCCCAGATTAATACAGCTGACAAAGACATACTAGATGGGGAAGTAAGTGAGGAGGAAGTTCACCTTGCTGTTAAATCATTACAAAATAATAAAGCCCCAGGACCAGACGGCTTTCCAATTGAATTTTTTAAAACCTTTTCAAACAAATTATTAACTCCCCTTACAAATATGATCAAGGAGGCATTCCAAAAGACAGCACTTCCTCAATCGTTAGAACTTGCAACAATAACATTACTTCCCAAACCTGGAAAAGACGTACAAAAGTGCAGCAACTATAGACCTCTGAGCCTTCTCAATTCTGACTATAAAATCTTGTCTAAAATAATAGCGTCT